AAAAGTAAGTTTTTGATGCACTTGCTGCAATCTCCTATAGAAGATGCGCAGAAATGACAACCTGTGTGAGGTGTACTGACCTGACCCTCTTAATTCAAGGCTTCTATAACATGTGTGTATGTGTATGTGTATATGTATATATATATATATATATATATATACACACGCACACATGCACGTTACACTCGTATTACACACACAAAATACAACTCACTATTTACAATTGGCATAACTTTAATCTTGATGCTCAACCTTTTTTAAGATTACTCCAGTAAACAAAGTTTTAAAATCAATCCAGGTACACTACAAAAAATGGTTAAATGTCACCTGGAAACGTTTTAATATCGTTTACTCCAGTAAACAATGCTTCGGTGACTTAAGGTGCCATGTATAATATAATAAATGCAAGCCATAATCTAAAATCTAGACTAATTGATTAAAAAATTGCTTTAAAAACATGAAAATACTCTTTTTAAACTACGCAGTAAACGCATATTTCTAAATTAAAAATGCATATTTTTTTGCCCCCCCGCATATGCTGGAAGTGAGTCCGTCCCTGAAATCATTCCCTCATTTTGTGCAGCAGCAGATTTCATCCGGGTAGCTAACATCCGGCTGTCGGTGGTTCAGGCCAGGTAACAGCAGTTTGTGAAAATGAAAGGCGCATCAGGCGAATGTTTGATTTAAAAACCCTCACAATCACAAGTGAGATTTTGTGAAGGAATAGAGGACATGGACGGACAAATTGTACAGGTAGGCTGTGTGTGAACATGACACTCGATACCGCGGAATAAAACTCAACTACCGTTAGCTAATTTAACCGCTGAAGCAACTTTTCTAATATTTGGTAAGTTTAAATACAAAACTGTATTCTTTTTTTAGCATGTGGTGTTGTACGTGCTAACTTTGCCGTGGGGGTGAACAAAAACATTTTGGCAAATAATCGTTCTACTTCTATAACTGATCCATTTTTTTTTTGTAAATCATGCTTGTTGGTTACCCCAACATCTACTGCAGCGGCCCATTGTCCCTCTGAGACACTCTTACTTTATATATGATACTATAAAGGTTACTAATTCTATTTATAAAGTTTTTTCATTCAACCTTTTTTTTTTAAATTCAGGTTAGTCTCATTGAGTCTCGAGGACTCATTTACAAGAGACACCTTGAATTTGACATTCACGTGACAGTCAAACTAATAGTTTAATTAGTTTTCACTTGTTTTGGACAATTTTATTTTATTCGATATATATATATATATATATATATATATATATATATATATATATATATATAAATAAAACACTGTATTCCTGAAAATAAGCAAAAAGAAAAAAAAGTCTGCATTTATTTTAAACTCCAAAATCAAACTTAATCAGAAAACATACTTCACAGCAGGTGAAACAATTAGAGCAATATTCTTTAAAATACATTTCAAGTAAAGTTTTGTTTCTTAATGTTTTTCATGAAATGTTTTCCCATGCTATGTTTTTTGAACGTTTTTCTTATTTTTATGTATGTATTGATAGATTTTAGACACAAGTCATTATCAAAATAGTATAAAAAAAATGGAAAATTTACAACAATAACAAAGACTATATAATTAAAAATGTTACCTTTGTACTTTTTTAAATTATACCTTGTTTTTGTATTTTTTCTTTTTCTGTTTTTCCTTTCAAGACATAAACAATACTGACTAGTCAAAAATGTAGGGAGATCCAAAATGTAGTTCCACCCTATTAGCTTCCACGTGGTGTAAAATGCAACACAAAATATAACTCTTGAAAAAAACATACAGTGCTTGGTATCAATTATAAAATATATATAACATAAAACAAGACTACTGTACCAAGACCAATGCTTTATTTTTATTTGATGTGAAATTCATAATTCCCAAGTTTTTTCATCCCCCTTCCTCAGAATGTTCTTAAAAAGATAAGATATAACTCCACCTTCACTTTCTCCTTGTTGAAGTAATCAAATAATTGTGTAATCCCTACTAAAATCACTGGACTAAATGAACCTTAATCCCATAAATCTGAAGCGGTCTTCTGTTTGTCTCAGGCTGTTTTGGACAAGGACTTAATATCTTCTGCGTCCGTTGGGATGTCAGAGTTGTCTGATGAGATCCTGCTGTGTATCCTCCGTCATGTTCCCGTGTGTGACCTGCTGACAAACGTAGCAAATGTTTGTCAAAAGCTGCACACACTTTGCCGTGACAAGACCCTGCTCGCAAACATCATGTTATCTGAGGAATATCTGGTAAAGCAGTGGAGGGTGGGGGGAGATCCTCAATGGGGCTGATAATGTTTCAGGACTGTTTTTTTGAACGGCTGTCATCTGTTTTTAGGCTGATGACAAGTTGATTTGCCACATCCTGAAGCAGCTCGCCCATCACGTGCAGTCTCTGAGCCTGAACGGCTGCTACTGGCTGTCTGCTTCCACTTTGGACGTTCTGGCACGCTGCAGAGGAGTGACACATCTCGATGTTACTGGCTGTCGCCTCACTTCTCTTTGTCTGTCACGCCTCCTGTCCTCTCTGTCTTCACTTAGGTCCCTGGCTTTCGATGTGAGGCCGTGCTTCAACTCCGCTCTGCTCAGTTCAGAGGCAGTGGACACACTGAGCCGTGTGACAGAGCTCAGACAGACGCTCTTCACGCCGAGCTATGGTGTGGTGCCATGCTGTGCAAAACTTCGCAAGTAAGAATCTGTGGCATTACAAAGTTCTGGCACACGCAGACCTCTGTTGGAATTTTTATGCTCTATTAAACAATCAATGAATAATTACACCTTCTACTGTCTATTAAAATGTTCAAGTTATTAGAAAAAGCTGAACAGTGAAAGATCTGTTGGAATCACTTTAAGCTACAGCTAGGCCTGTTGCAATAAACTATCAATTAATCGCATGATAAATGAAAATTATCAACCTCATTTTCATTTATCAGCTTTATTGTTTCTTTGTGTCTCTCTCTTTCTACTGAAGACACTGGATGACAAAAAGCTCGACTCCGGTGCTCTTCACTGACTTCTCCCTTTCTATTTTCTCGTTAAAATCCATTTTAACCGTCCAAAATCGTGTTTTTAGATCGTTAAAATCAGCTACGCTGAGAAGCTAAGCTACGAGCTAAGCTAACAGGTCGACTGCAGGATAAAACCTCCGTCTTGTCGAAGCTCCCAAAATTCACAGTTGAAACCTGTGTCTTTGTGTAAGAAGTTGTTTTTCTCTGTAAAAAGAAGCTGAGAACGTGTTTACTGATTTTTTTATTAAAAGCTTTGTGTGAAAAAGGCTATGATAAAGACCTCAAACCACACTGAGCGTCCGCCATTTTGAGAACCGAAAAAAAGGAAGGAGAGACGGCCCATGTCACGTCAAGGGGCCTCCCTCCCATTTTTCTTAAAGAGACACGCTGCTGCTTCCTCACTATCCATCCTTCGGTTCAAACAGTCTTATACTGCCATGTAGTGGCCAAAAAAAGGTACTACATTCAAAATAAAATTAACAAACATTTCTTCTTAAATTTGACAATAATAACTAATTACTGTCAAATTTCAAACAATATTATCGTTTATCGCAATAATTTCTATTGTGACAGGCCTAGCGACAGCTTTATACAATGATAATGGGGAGTTTTTAAGTCTTTAGGGGCTGATGTGATGAGACCTCTTCAGTTACCCGCTGAAAGGGAACACGCTTTATTGAGTTTTTAAACACATTACTAACAACGAGCGACGAATGACATCAACCTCCTATGGTTAGTGAGATCATTTATTGATTTGTTTGTGTGGTTATGATGGAAGATATTAGTTTATTAAAGGTGCATAAAATGTATCCTTGCCTGCTGTACCTGCTGTCATGAAGGGCAGCCACTTCGGTCTGTTCTAGTTCAGTCTTTGGATGGTACCCCAGGTGTAGTTTAGGGTCTTCGTCTCCACCTCGACCGTTGTCGCCAGGTGTTCTTTAGTCTGCCTCTCTTGTGTTTGACTTCTGGTGTCCATTGTAGGGCTGTGTGTGTGATGTTATCAGGTTCTTTCCTGAGCACATGCCCAGTCCACCTCCACCTCATGATGATGGTCTCCATGCTGTGTTGCCAACAAGCAAGCGGCTGTCATTTGAGATTGTGTTGGGTCAGATAATTCTGCGGATTCTTCACAGGTTGTTTGTGTGAAAAATGGAGAGCTTGTTAAAGTCACTGTCAGTCATCCTCCACCACGCTGAGCTGTAGAACAGGTTAGACAGTGCACAGTTCTGGCACAGCTCCAGCTTTCATGCTGTCCTGCTGGGCTCTTCAAACGTTGCTGAGCATTCTGAATGCCTTGCTCTTTACGTCTCTATCTGCTCCGTCATCACATCTTACAACGCTGCCTTAAGTGTATTACATCAAATCTGAACTTTCCATCAAGTCGAACTTCATTATTGTTAGAGTGAAAACTGTCCCAACATCTATCTGTCCACCAGCTGATGCCAGAATAATTTACCTAAAATTTACAGCGTTTTTCTTTACTGATTTGAAACAATTGTTAAAAAGCAGAGCTTCTATTGGCTGAGATGCTATTAGCAAGTTGTTACAATTTGTTGTATTTTTTAAAAACTTCTAATGCTTTAGTAATTAATTTATTACACGTTGAAGAATCAATATGTTCCTCTTTTTTTTTTCTTAATGCTACAGTATTTATTTTAAATGTTAAGTATGTTACATACAAGTGGATAAGAGATGTTGAATTATAAGGATTTTCTGTGTTTTTGCCAATTTGTCCAAGCTACTGTTTAATTAAAAACATTTTTATTTTTTAAATTAGTTTTAACTCTTACCTATGGTATTAGATAGGTCAATTTCAGAAACTTGTAAGTTTTTGTTCTACGATTCCAGCTTACAAAAAAAAAAAAAAAAAGAAATTTGGTCATTTAGTTAAGTTAAACATCTTTAGAAGGTAACATTTGTGTTTTTCTTGCTGCTGAGAACAGAAACCTTTTCATGTTACTGTGTTGTGTGTGTGTGTGTGTGTGTGTGTGTTTGTGTGTGTGTGTGTGTGTGTTGTAGGCTCATGCTGCAGTTTGACATCCCAGATGTGACCAGAGAAGGTGTCGGTGTTTGCTGTCAGTTAATGGTTGGTCAGAGCAGTGTGCCACATTATGAACAACTGGAGGAGTTCACGGCTAGGTTGGCTCCAGGAGAGGTGAGTTTGTTATCTCCCATGTGAATAAATCCTGTTCCATCTGAAACATACACTGGGATGGATGTGTCTGTGTTTCCATGACCACAGGTAAACCAGACCCTGCTCCTCCTCTACCTGGCAGTGTTCAGCGTTCACATTCCGAAGCACCTCAGAATTTTCCTCGTGTCGATTCCCGGTCCGAACCCGGCTCACTGGCCGGCTGCGCCCTCACTGGCTCAGAGTTTGGGCCAACGAGGCGACCTGGTGGCGCTGCAGCTCCCTCGGTCATGGCTGGATCCTTTGTCTCTGAAGCAAGCGCTGGAGGGAAACAGCCCGAACCACCTGAGCTTTAGCCGCTGCCCAAGTTTGTGGCCACAGGTGTTCCAGTCGCTGCTGAACGGAGGCGTCAGAGACGCCACGCAGCTGATCAGCCTCAACCTCAGCGGCATCAACCACGTTCCCTACTCTGAGTGCAGGAGTGTGGAAGACCAGCTGGTTGCTGGGACAATGAGTCAGCTAGCTGTCGCTTGCTCCAACATTAAACACCTGAACCTGATGCACACACACTATCACCATGAATGCTCACCTGGACTGGATGGAGAGACTCACCTGTGTGCCAGCTTGGGCAAATTCAAACAGCTGCGCTCTCTCACTCTGCCTGCCTGCGCTCTGTCAGACGGGGTGAGCGAGAATCATACCTCCACACGCCTCACAGCCTCCTCTCCGTTGTTCCAGGGGCTGAAGAAAGCTCCGCGTGTGGGTCTCCAGAATTACACACCTGATTCTGAACCTTCTCTGTCAGGGGACAGCACTTCAGGGCTGGCATTGCTCATAGCTGGTTGCCCATTTTTAGAAACCTTGGAGCTCATTGGACCAGGTTTTGCCTCAGTGCTGCCTCGGCTTGAGCCCTGCACTCGTGCGAGCGTGGAGCCTCGTGGCATGTGCGCCTGGGCACGAGGAGTTGGAGATTCACACTTAGCAACGCTCGCAGCTTTGCCTCGATTGCGCTGTTTGACTCTAGCTGGTCTCCCTGGAGTTCTTCGAGGAACAGGACTGGTGCAGCTGGCCAGACGGTGCAGAGACCTACGAGTGTTATCCTTGGCCAATCTGGGCTCACTGAAAACTATGAACTACACAGCTGCCTTACTGGAGACACTTAAACAGTGCACACAGCTGCAGGAACTCAGGTTAGACAATACCTTTCTTCTTGTCAGTATTTACCTTTGGATTGATAGTCTTAAATATAACTGTAACCAATTAATGTCACATATTCTTACAGTAAAATAAATGTTGTTATGATGTAAAGCCATCTGTTTTCCAGATTACAGTAGTCCCTCGTTTATCGCGGGGGATCTGTACCCTGAAGCCCCGCAATAAGTGAAAAACCGTGAAGTAGGAATAGTAGTACAAGTAGTAAGTAGTACGATACAATATTATATTGATTTGTTTCAGAATCAGAATAAACTTTATTGGCATCGCACCGAGATACAATGCGTATATGTACGTACAGTCGTCTGAAAGACGGGCGGAGTGCACTAAGCTGCGGCTATAAATAGCGCGGCCTTCTTATTCTTATTCAGAGTAATATTTTGCTTAGATGAGAAAAGGGAAGAAAACACGAGGAGAGACGGTATAAAAAAAAGATCTCTCACGCCGTGTCCTAGACAGGACACGATATGAGGCATCAAAAAAAAAAACTACCACAGCAAAGCAACATAAACAGACATTATACATGTACTGTACATATAGGCGGTGAAAACATTGAATTTTTAAGGGAAAGTCGTAGCATAGTCCAGAGCCCCCCCTCAGCCATTGTCCAGATAAGAGGTGACGTTCATCTTCAGCTCAGTTGAGGTTCTGCCACATGTCCACGGCCTTGGGGAAGGGAGGGGTGAGGAAACAGTCAAAGCATCTTTGTTGTTTTCTAAACATTCCAGGAGGAGTTGAGATAAGTCCGACGTCAAGGCCACAGTTTGGGAAAGGCAGAACTCGTGAAATTGTTGTTTCTGCCTTTTAAAGTCTCGCTGGTATATATTCCTCTGATGGAACTCCAAAACAGCCGAATTGATCCTTTACGCCAAAAGTCGAGCTCACAGCTTCTCCAAGATTATTCCCACCATTCATGAGTGCTGCCAGAAAGTTCACAGTCCTGATAACAGCTGCTCCAGCTCCCTGCTGCAGCTCCACATAATTCAGTCTGAGTGCTGCCAAGCTTCGACACGTCCACACGAATTTATAGACAATCCAGATTTCACCAGTTGTCATCATGAATCCAATTTGTTTCCGTCGAGGTGAGAGGGTCCTCCTTACCCTGACTCCTGTCAGGAGAAGTTGATAAATTTTGTTGAGAGACCAGCTGATCCTTCCAATTAAGAGGTATGCAGGAAAAAAAAAGAGAGGCCTTTTAAGGGTTTGTATAACGATACGATTTTTCTTGATATCACAAAGTGTCACGATACAATTTTGATTCAATTCGATTCACAAGTCTGCGATCGATATATTTGCGATATCAAATGCCCATCTCATTTACATATAAATAAATTTACAAAAACAATTCAAATATGATTTAACCATTTTATTTCTGTTATTACAGGCACCAGGCATAAAAAAAACCAACATCTTCTTAATTAATCCATCCATCCATCCATTTTCTTTACCCGCTTATTCCATTTTGGGTCACGGGGGTCGCTGGTGCCCATGTCCAGCAATCACTGTGCGAGGGGCGGGGTACACCCTGGAAAGGTCTCTTAATTAATGAAAAAATAAAAATAAAGGACTGTTCAGTATAGTGTCACATTTCTCATGTTTAAGGGCATTTTTTAAACCAGTTAACTTAAAAGTGCCCTGATTACATTTCAGTTATAAAGAAACAGAAATAGATGTTGAGCTTACATCAATGCCGTGTTTCTTCTTCAGGTGAACGACCAAATTTGTTGCGTTTCCCGAGTATTTTAACTCACACTGGCACCTGTTGCATACGACATGAGTTTTGTCTGTTGAGCCGTCCTTCTGTTGGGATCCAAAATATTTCCACAGTGTTGATTTAAATCTAGCAGGAGAGTAAATTTCATTATCTGTGTTTTCCACCTTGTCTGCCATGTTGCTGAGGCGGCCGCAGAGCGCAGAAATGCTGACTGAGACGTGCCTTGGGAATTTCAAAATAAAAGCATATTTTAAAGATGATAATATGAATCGATGTTTTAGTTTTGTCACAATATAATTGAATCATTAATCATTTAATCAATATTGATTTAAATCGATGTATTGTTACACCCCTAATATGTATATG